AAAAAAAAAAAAAAAAAAAAAAAAAAAAGACTTACTTCCTTAAAAAGTATCAGTTTTACAAGATGAAGAGAATCTGAAGATTGGTTGCACCACTGTGTGAATGGATTTAACACTACTGAACTATACATTTAATATGGTTAAAAGATAAAATTATGTTATGTGTATTTTACCACAATTTTAAAAAAAAAGAATCTTAGCTCCTCCATCTAGGGGCTTAGATGGAACCTGATATGCTTGGGGTGAAATGAAAGAACAAGTTGCTCATCAAAAAATTTTCACACAGCATTTAGAGAAATGACTACATACAAATCATTAAAGTGTTATGGACATTACTTTTCAGACTCAAGTTGTGCTTTCTTCTGTCTTAGATCCTCTTCTGTGATCCCACCCAAATGTTTGTAGTTGCTCTCAGCAATTTCCAGGAGGTGTCTCAATTCTACAATCTTCTTATAAGCTCTCACTGCAAGACAGGTGAATTAGCACCTAATTTAGACAAATAACGTGTTCTCAGGGTGCTGGTCCTCTTGATCATTTTCTTCTCCTAGTGCCACTGTCTCTGCTTTTGGTAGAGAGCTGGAGAGTGGCACATACTGTGCACAGAAGGATAAATATTAGACTATTTGGATGATCAGGCAATGATACACCGAACTGGAGGATTTTTCCTCACCTACTGGGGCAAGTATCAGCTTGTTATAACTTTTACTGCTATGTATCAGGATGAGTGCAATATTATAGGGCCATTATGATCTACTGTATCTCATAAAATTTGAAAAAAATGAAATATGCTTAACTAATTTAAAATACACCAGCCAGGTATAGTGGTGCATGCCTGTAATCCCAGAAATTAAAAGAAAAGAAAAGAAAAGAACTAGTCCAGCCCTAAATTTTGTGATTAGTCACTTGTAACATCTATGCAAAAAAAACTATGAGAGAGGATACTGAGAGGAAGAAGTGTGTTGAAAGCTTTTCTGAGCCATCCTCCAACAGTCAAAATAGTTTTCCATCCGTTATGTTTCTCAACCTGAGCTGATTTTACCACTTAAGGGACATCTGGCAAGGTCTAAAGTATCTAGAGATATTTTTGCTTTTCACATCTTGGGAGTGGGGAGGGAAAAGGCAACAGGAATCTACTCAGCAGAGGCTCAGGATGCTACTAAACGTCTTATAGTGTACAGGGCTCTTCCCCACAAGCAATAATAATTTTCTGGAGCAAAATGTCAAGAGTACAAAAGTTGAGAAATTCTGCTTTATAGGACCACATTAGCAAATTACAGCCTCTTCTTCCTAACACACAGCACTCTGTTTTATCCATCCAGATATTAGAGCTACAAGTTCCAAAGTACACATGCCAGAATCAACTGAGGTGTGTTTTAAAAAAAAATGTGCATGCTTGAACCTTATCTCAGAAGTACAAGTTCAGGCATCTCTAGTTAATAAAATCTTCTCAGACATTCCTGAGGAACAAACAGGTCCTGAAACCACTATAACTAATAAAAGCCACAGGAAAAAAAAAAAAAGACAGAAAAACCTGTGGCTATTTAGCTTACATAATATTCCTCAATATTTGAAAGGCTGTTTTCAAAGACCTGTTCACCGAGGTTCTCAGATATAAAAGCTAGAATTAACTGGGATTAGCCTCAGGAATACAGATTTTTACTCAATACAGGAGAGACTGTAACAAAACAAATAACTATCACGTATTTATAAAATGCCTGATGTGCAAGACTACATTAAATACTTTGCACATTTAAATCCTCATAGAGACTTTCAAAGAGAAGACGACCTACCTTGTAGGTCCTAAATGGAGGCTAGATGACATGTGACAATGTCTTTGTTACTTTTCTTGCTGCTGAGACAAAATACCTAATGCCCAAAGTTAAGGGAGGAAAAGTTTATTTCGCTCACATTTGTAGAGGTTTCAGGGTCTAAGTCAGGGTGGGTTGGCAGAGGGGTATCTCACAGGAAAACCAAAGAGCAAAAGCAACAAGGGACCTTACCAGCTTCTCTCTGTACCTTTTATATTTTATCTAGGCCACCAGGATCAGAGCGGTGCTAAACTAATCAGTGTATTGATTGAGTAATCACTACCTGTAATCCCAACATCGCACACTCTACATTCAGCTGTCTGAAAAAGTCTCACCTATGACCGCATGAAGCTTTGGGGGATATTTAGACCCAAATCCTAAGAGACAGCAATCTGGAGCAAGCAGTCACATCTCAAATACTTAGTTACAGGACTCTGTGATGCCATAGCCCTAAACTTAATTCACTAAAAAGTGCCCTGAACTAAAGCTCATTGCCAGGAATATCCAGTATGACAAGAAATCCAACCAGTCCCTTGTAGGTGCCTCCCCCAAAAAAAATAGTGCCCCAAGAAGGTACCGTCTAGTCCTTTGATTTTTTTCCTGCAATAAAATTAAATAGGGATGATAATACAGCACATGACTTGATATCTACTTGCCCTCCCTTCACTAACTGCAAGCACCCCAGCTGAGCACGAGTGATCCCCAGAGTACACAAAAGATGGTAAGATCTCATTTGTATGGCACACACACCACAGAAAGAAGTGCTAGTGTGTTGTTGGTCTCTTCTGCAACACCCTTTTGAAATGTCTTGGTTTTCTGACAGTGATCTCTTCACAACTATCTTCTCAAATAATCTCAGAATACACAAATCCTACAAGATCATCAGCTCATTTTCTGTAATTCTAAATCCTGCACTCTCAAAGAATCTCCAAGAAATCTAAGCAATTAAATAAAAAATTCACTGGACTTCATAAAAATGTAAAACTTTGCACCATCAAGGACCATTAAAACAACCCACAGCAATGAGGAAAACACCTGTAAATCATAGATCTCAAAAGTACTTCCATATCCAGATGTATTTTCACAACTCAATTCTAATTTAAGACCTCTGGCAAACTTAAATTATATCAGAAACTTCACCTAGACAAGTAAATGAGTATGTTCTCTTTCCACCTAATTGATAATCCACCTGAATATGTTACACCCTTCCCCACCATCCAGTCCTTTCTCTACCCAGAATATAGTTTGTGTTTCTAAATACAAATCAAAACAACATTCTTCAATTCAAGCACCAACAAAGGCTTTCTATTCAAAATAAAATCTAGGGCCAGGGATTTAGCTCAGTGGTTATGCTTGCAAGCGCAAGGTCCCGAGTTCAATCTCTGGTACGAGAAAAAAAAATAATAATAATAATAATAAAGTAAAATCTAAAGTACTTATGAGCACCTGTATGATCTGACTGGGCCCTTGCTTAGCTCTCTAACCTTACCCATCACCTCTTCCTCAGTGTTTCTTCTCCAGCCATTCTGATCATGCTCAGTCCAATTCATGGCTGTTACATGCACTGCTCCCTCTGCTTGGAATGTTCTTCCAGGATCTTTATACGGCCCACCCGCATCATTCCGGTCTCCTCAAATGTCACTTTGCTCAGAGAGGCCTAACAGTTATCTAGAGTATCACCTTACTTCATTTTCTTTATACATCTATTTCTTTCCACTTATTCAGTACTTTCCTCTCTTACCAGCACCACCAGAATGTAAGTCCCGGGCCGGGGATTTAGCTCAGTGGTGCTGCTGCCTGTCTCACAAGTACAAGGTCCTAAGTTCGATCCCCGGTACCAAAAAAACAAATAAAAATAGATTTGGGACAGTGTAAGTCCCATTGTGTTGTTCACTGTCTCTCCAGTAGCTACAACAGTGTTTGGCACATATTCACCAATAAATGATTATCCCTAAAAAGTATTTGTCAATGAACTATGGAAACCTCTGAGTTGTTTCCTTGTTTTCTATGATACACTTAGATATTTTTTCTTTTCTATAACATCCCCCTCTTGAGGGAGCCAATGTTTTATACTTCTTTATATGTGCAATAACCCTAAGAGAAAAATGTATCTCCTACTTCCCCAAAACTATCAGATAATTTTTCAGGCAGTAATTGTCTTTAGAATAATTTCCAAGCTTGTGGTAAAAATTACGTATGGTGTTTCCAAAAGAACAAATGATAACAGAGGCAACATACTTACTTCTGGCATCTGTTTTATCCAACTCACTCAAACATAAGTCTTCCTTGGCATCAGTGCTTCCCTCAACACCATGCCTCAGAAAAAACTTTTTATCATTTTCATCGATATCATTCTCATCATCAAGATCATATTTCTGTATCCCTTCTAATAGTTTTACTGCTGCCAAATGGGCAAATCTGTAAAAAAGAATAAAAAATTAGTGGCATCCACAATCTCCTTCAAATTTAACCTGCAGTTTGTACTTAGGCAAATCCACTCTGTATGCTTTTCCATGAAACCCATCTACCAGGCAAGAAGCAAATATGTACCTGCCGGTCAGTGACAACTTGGCATATATGAGACTATGTGGGAAACTTAAATAGTTACTGGACACCTCAGAACAGTAAGCATTTAAAAACTTTACTGGCAAAAAAAAGGTGGGGGGATTTAGCTCAATGGTTCCGCCGTCTGCCTTGCAAGAGCAAGGATCCAAGTTTGATCCCCAGTACCAAAAAAAAAAAAAAAAAAAAAAAAAAAAACACTGGGACAGGAGATCCAGTATCAAAAGAACACTAGGAGGGCTGGGGAGGTAGCTCAGTGGTGCCATGCCTATCTGGCAAGCACAAGGTCCTGAGTTCAATCCCCGTACCAAAACAGAATGTTTGGTGTTGTCCCCAAGCAGAGCTACTCAATAGAATAGAGAGCCCAGGACCACCCTATCTGATTCCTTGTATTTAATGCCCTTGTTACCCCAATTTAAATGGCAGAATTATTTCTGGTTCCAGTTACTCAAAGGCCTAACTACAGTACTATTCCCTTTAACCTTCACCCTTCCTCAACCCAAAGCATTTGTAAAAAAAGATTCACAAAACCAGTTTTCATTAGAAAAAATGCAAATTAAAACTATAACGATGTACCATGACATATCTACTCAAATTATGAAATTCAAAAAAAAACTAACAATACCAAATGCTGGTGAGAATGACAATAACAGAAATCCTCATCTATCGCTGATGGGAATGCAAACTGGCATGGCCATACTGGAAGGCAGAACTTCACAGGTCCTCACAAAAATACACAACGAGCCTATGTCCAGTGAGCTTACTCCTTGATATTTACCCAAGGAACTGAAAACTTAGTTTTCAGTCTATGGTCCATAAGCTTCCTCTAAATTGTTCAATACACTAAACACACTGTACGAGTTTCTAGTCTAGCAGCAATAGGGTAAACTATATAGTCTAAGTGTGTGATAAGCTAATTCATCTGTATTTGTACAAGTATGTTCTATGATAGTTGCACTACAGTGAAATTACTGCAGATAGGTAAGTTAATTAGATTATCATGGAGGCAGTTAGACAGGACCAGCCCACAAGGAGCCAACATGGAAGAGTCGAAAAGCCAACTTCGAGGACAATCAAAAAAGCCAGGCGTGGTGGTGCATGCCTGTAATCCCAGCACTTGGGAGGCTGAAGCAGGAGGATCGCTGTGAGTTCAAGACCAGCCTGGGCTACACAGTGAGTTCCAGGTCAGTCTCAGCTACATAGTGAGACCCTGTCTCAAAAATCAAAACAAACAAACAAAAAAATACATTCACTAAAGGCCAGCATTGTAAAAGGAGAGAAACTACCACGCCCACTGCTTCCTCTAAGGCACTGACTGATATTCTAAATAGTTATCAATCAGCCAGGGGATTTAGCTCAGTTGTTCCGCCACCTGCCTTGTAAGCAGAAAGACCTGAGTTCCATCCCTGGTACCAAAAACAATAATAATAGCAAATAAATAGGTATCAATCACCAAATAGGTATCAATCACCTGGATGGGGAAGAAAGATCTTCCAAGAAAGATCCCTGACCACCCCTTACCACCGAAAATCCTTGCTCACCGGCAGGGATTTAGCTCAGTGGTTCCACCACCTGCCTCACAAGCACAAGGTCCCAATTTTGATCCCCCAGACCAAAAAAAAAAAAAAAAATATCCTGTGTACTTGCTCTGTGACGTTTTTCCCCCACTGGATCCCCATTTAATTAATATTACCCAAGCAACTACACTTATCATAATCTTATTGGTTGCTCATAGTTTTGTTCACCTTGTGATTTCTCATTGGATGATTACCTAAGCCACTGTACTTGTTTTTTCTGTTTGTTTGTTTTTAAGAACAGGAAATTTTTATTGAAAGAAAGATAGCTTCTGTCTAAGAGAGACAGAAGGGGAACCAGAAAATGGGTTGCCCGTTCACCTAGCTTCTCAAAGGTGTTTTATGAGACAAAGCCACAAGGTGAAGTGGGTTCAAGGTGGGACAAGACCATAGTCAAGTAGTGAGATTACAAGTACAGATGCTTAGGTAATATTGATGCAATGAGAAATCACAAGGTGGACAAAAGTATGAACAACTAACAGCAAGAGGTTCATATTAACTGACACGGGTCTCACTTTAACTTGATCATAAACACACAGCAGAAAAGAAAACCAAATGAGGTATAAAAATAATGCCATAAAAATAAATAAATAAATAAATACAAATGATGCCATAGTAATAAAGCTAGATATAAAAGGGGCTCCAATTGCTAACCCCTCCTGGCAGTTTCCAGCTATACCAATAGTTGACCACGGTTATGGATCATTAGGAAAAACTATGGTAGAACCTATAAGAGCTCAACTAGAGTTTTAAATTTCTTAGATAAATTTGTCCTTCAAATTGTCTCTATCTTACAGCTAAGACTGGACAGACTTATGACAAAATATCAGACTTATAGATAAGCTCCATCAATAAAAGAAGGTAAGAGCTAACAGGTTGTAATCACTATTTCAGTTTATACGTATGACTCTTTCACCTACCTACCTTTCCACAGATTATGCATAGCCTAATTTCTTTGAAATTTTGTTTATTCTTGCCTAGAGGCTGCCAAACTCCAAGTGGTCACACAAGTGGAAACAAAGACAAATGTGCTAGGCTGCTTTTACCAGGATCTACCACGTCGACCTAGTAAACAGATCATAACTGCTAAAATACAATAAGAAGTCCCTGGACCTTCTCCTTATTCTCTTTGTGGGAAGCTACTACTAGTTCCTCCTGGTGGAAATGCTTGTTGGCCATATTCATAGAAATCCTGCAGACCTTATTATTTGGCCCAAGTATTCTTTTGTTTTTGTTTTTAGGGTTTTTTTGTTTTGTTTTGTTTTTTTGTTTTTTGGTACCAGGGATCAAACTCAGGTTCTTGCTCGTTCAAGGGCAGGCGGCGACAGCACAGAGCTAAATCCCAAGCCCTGGCCCATGTATTCTTAACTGTTTCTTTAGCTTTGTCTCCTCCGGACTCAAAGACATTTGCCTACCCAAGATGACAGTGCCTGGCTCCTGTCGAGTACCTTTGGATAGACCCTCTGTAGAGTAACTCTGCTAAGCAACTGTACTTGCGATCTCACTAGCTGACTATAGGTTTGTTGCACCTTAAACCCGTGACTTTGTCCCATAAAAAAAATCTCTGAAAAGTGGGGTGAGCGGGCAACCCACTTTCCAGTCCCCCTTCTGTCTCTCTTAGACAGAAGCTTTCTTTCTCTCCATAATTTTTTCTAATCTTAACTAAAATTCATTGTTCGATTTTAGAGAACATGAACTCGCGTTTCGAACTTAGCAGGTTTTGGAGTTACATCTCTTCCCCCTGTATCAAAATCACCTGTCAACATGTCTCAGAACTTATCACCACACTACGTGACACTCAACTGTACATACAACTCTAGAAAATGCAAACTCATCTATGGAGACAAAAAGCAGATCGGCATTTGGTTGGGGAAAGGGCACTAGGGAAGGAGAGAGATTATAAAGACTTTCAGAAGTGATGAGTATGTTCGCTATCTTTCATTATAGTACTGATTTCATAGGTTTCTACATATAAAAACTTAACCACTTGCATTGTACAGATATGTGCATTTTATTATATAGCAATTATACTTTGATAAAGCTGTTTTAAAAAATAAAATAGTGAGTTGATTCCAGGCATGTAAAACCATACAACGCATCAAAGAAATTCCACAGACAAAATCTTAAACAACATGAGCTCAGAAACACACGAGCTCAAATCTTGCAATGTGAGGGAATGACTGGACCCAAGCATCAGGGACAGCTTCAAGAGCTACTGTTACCCATACTTATGCTTTAGATTCAAGTGGCTCTGAATCATAAACATACAAGAGTTATGCTTCAAGTGTCAGCATAAATATTACTTCAAAAAATATTTTTCTTCCCCAAACACTTTCTAAATTCTGTCCCTCTGCAGCTTCCTTCTTAACTTTTACTATCATTTCTGTTACTGTTTTCCTGCCTTCTCCCTCTTCTCCCTGCACACAGTCTACATATAGGAAGGCTTGGCTACATTTTCATCCTCCATTCTTACTGCAGCTTATACATACCATGTAATAGGATACAGTGATTATAATGACCAAGAACTTTTGTTTATGTATTGTTTCTCCACAATACAATGAGTTCACCATAGCAGGAGCTATCCTGAATGCTAACAACAATACCTGGACCTGGGCAACATAGATAAGAAGTTGAATGAAAAGACAAACAAATGAGCAAATAGGATTAAATATTCTTTGAGGATCTGGCCTGGTGGTGCTACATTCAATTCAGATGTAAATCCCAAAGTATGCATATTTCAAAACCCTGCCCTGATTTCTTTTTCTGTTATCAATGTTGATAATTCATTTTTATTAGTGTTTCTCAACAAGGTGCTACAGGCATTTAGACCGAACAATTCATTGTTTACCACTGGTTTGTTTTGTTTTGTTTTGTTTTTTGGATTGAACTCAGGACCTTGCACTTGTGAGGCAAGCAGTGGAACCACTGAGGTATTTGGGTTTTTGAGGCAGGGTCTCACTTTGTAGCTCAGGCTGTGCTTGAACTCTCCAGGCATCCCTGGCTAGTCTCGAAGTCATGATCCTCCTGCCTTAGCCTCCCAAGTGCTGGGTTTACAGGAGTGTGTCACAACATGCCCAGTTTTTACCACTGTTCTGATGACTACAGAACTTTCCTCATGCCCCAGTCCCAACTCTCTTAAATGTCAGACAGTCACTGCCACTTCTGTCTCCTTTCTAAGTGCTCCTACCCCAAGGAAAGGGGAAAAACTTTACCTTCCAGTTGAGAATCACCCCTTTGGAGAGAGGAGCTGATATGTCAAATGTCAGTTCAGCTTGAAAATTGTGATTGCATTAACTTTAATTGAGTCCTCTGAAATTGCATTAAATTATCAGAAATTTCTGAGCACAAGATAATATATGCAAAACTTTAAAAATAAAACAAAAAAAAAAGGGAGCAAAGCAGATAGGGCTCTGTACCTCTTAGCCACATCACTGGGTCTCTCTCCTGCTTTGTTGAGTATATTATTGTCTGCTCCCATTTTAATTAACCACTGCAAACACTCTAGGTGGCCTTGTCCCGCAGCTGTTAAGAAAAGGGGGAAGGGGGCAGGAAATATATGAAAAAACAAAGTTGCTATTAATAACTATTTTCTAAAATTTTGGTGTTTTTTTTAAGTTTTCTTGCTATGGAGTTCAGACTGGCCAAGGACTCACTACGCATAACCCAGGCTGTCCTCCAACTTGCAGGGATCCTCCTGCCTCAGCCTCCTGAGTGGTGGGATTACAGGTGTGCGCTACCATGTCCAGCTTTAAAATTCTGGATAGTACTTTATAGAGTACCATCTTAACTATTGTTCCTTAACTGCTATCGTTCCTACTAACAAAAGTAGGTTGGGCAAATGTTATTTTCTTATTTCACTTACTTATTCATCAGACAAATACTTAATGAAATATTTACTGTTCTTATACAGGAGACATTTAATATCACACAGCAAGAAAATAATGGATTTGAAACTAAAATTCAGTTTTTTTCTAATCTTTATCCAAGCACTTATATCTTGCTATACAGCTCCTACCCAATCTGTGTCATACCACAGTGTGAGTACATCTCAACCAGAGACCCACAGCAACATCAAAACTCTTGCTTTAGCATATACTGTGTGTGTGTGTACGTATGACTGTATGTAATGTATGTGTATGTACATGCTCCTGTAACTCTTGACTCATGTAGTGGCAGGGGGCCCCAGAGGCAGGATAAAGGCTTCACTGAGCTTTATGAAAATTTAATAGGCAGCTTTGACCTCTGCAGCCAGACTCCAAAAGCAAAACAAAGCCAGCTAGGGCCAGGATTTAGCTCAGTGGTGCCGCAGCCTGCCACATAAAAGTAAGGTCCTGATTTCAATCCCAGGTACCAAAAAAAAAAAGGCAAAGGCAACTGAAACTCCAACAAAAAGAAAAGACAACAAAAAATAAATACAAAGGCAGCCAGACTTGAGCAATTAGAAAGACACCTTAAGGTGAAGACCTGGAAATTCCCAGATAGATAGTGAGATGAACACAAGAATCACAAACTTTCCCTTTCCTTAATCCTTAAACCTAAACTCCCATCCTTAAAGCCCATACTGGAATCTTACCCTCCACCAAAGACAGGAAAAAGTTGCGTGGTCAGGAGAAATCCAAGTTTAGGATGAAAGACAAGCCAGGGAGCGATCAGATTCCTTGAGCCTACGTGAGACGAGGATCTCCATAAAAGGGAGCTGCTGACAAGAGATCCACGAACAGTTCACTTTCGAATTCTCCCAGCAGTCTGTCATCTCGCTCTTCCCCCTTTCCCATCTCCAAATAAATTGTCTTCTTTTATGTTAAACTGCTTCTTCAACTCTTTACCAAGGCTGGTACCATGTGGCAGAGCAGTGGCTTGCTGTCTACACCAGGTTGTTACAGCATTGTGCAGCGTGGCCAAGTGTACAACCCTCCCCAGACATCACACTTACAACTCAAAGTTTATAGGCCTCTTCAGGAGGATCGCTGTGAGTTCGAGACCAGCCTGGGCTACACAGTGAGTTCCAGGTCAGGCTCAACTACATAGTGAGACCCTGTCTCAAAAAAACAAAGAAAAACAAAAAACAAAAAACAAAAAGTTTATAGGCCTCTTAAACCACGCTTAATGACATAAACTACACTTCTGTATAAATCTTGTCGACACACATACCCTCTATAGGGATTTTTACCTACATAACTCTGCTTAAAGCCCATCATTCAGCTATGTGCTCATTTAACATCCACTGATCCTGGGTCATCTCAAGACTCAGTGAGGCTTTGGAAAACAAGCCTAAGAGATCTGAACTTAAGTCTACTACACAATGAAACTTGAGAACAGACTGTGATGATCTTCATACTCCCCAGAATTTAGCAAGCGGCTAGCACAGATAGACCCCTAACAAATGCCTACATGGTTAATAAGTAAATGAATGCATGAAAAAAGTAAATGTAATCTCACCTTGTTTTTTTTTGTTGTTTTTTGTTGTTGGTTTTTTTTTTGAGACAGGGTCTCACTATGTAGACTGCCCTTGAACTCAATGTGTAGTCCAGGCTGGTCTCGAACTCTCAGAGATCTTCCTACCTCAGCCTCCGGAGGGCTGGGATTACAGGCATGCGCCACCACACCTGGATTTTTTTTTTTTAATGAGTTTTCTTTGTAAATAAGAACACACTTCTGCTTCATAAAATTGCGATAATAGGGTCAGGGATTTGGCTCAGTGGTTCTGCCACCTGCTTCGCAAGTGCAAGGACCCATGTTTGATCTCCGAGAGAGACTTTTGTTGGGGATTTAGCTCAGTGGTTCTGCTTCCTGCCTTACAGGTGCAAGGTCCCAAGTTCGATCCCAGGTACCAAAAATCAAACAAACAAACAAATAAATAAAATTTTGCCATTAATCCTGTCATATAAAAACCCCTGGTTATTTCACTGCATAAGTATGTAGCTCCTTGACAGTAATGCCTGGGTCTCATTCTGTCTCCAAAGTGCATCAAAGAATAGGAACTTGAGCCAGGGATTTAGCCCTGTGGTTCCACTGCCTGCCTCACAACCGCAAGGTCCCAAGTTTGATTCCCAGTACCAAAAAAGAAAAGAATAGGAACTTTTGGTATAAATGTGGCTTAAAAGTGAACACACATCCAATATTGGCAACAAAGTCATAAAGCCATATTCAGTGACGAATAAGTCTATCACTATAACCCAAAGGTCCCTAAGAACTCTTTCTAGTCTGTCTTTCTCTGCTTAACTCAGAACCATCAGCAAATTCTCAACCAACCCAGACTGTCAGCCTGCCTCTCACTTCTCACTCCCCTCTTTCCCTCCCTTCCCCTTCCTGTCTCCCGCTTTCCCTCTCTCCCCTATCTAGAACTAGCTAACAAGGAATACTACAGGAATTCTCAGACTGCTATAAGTAACCCCACTTCATACAAAAGCAGCAACATATATATATTGGTTTTTCTGTCCTCAAATATGATCAAAGTTACCTTTATGATCATGGATAATACTGTGCTTTATGGGCCAGGGATGTAGCTCAGTGGTTCAGTGGCCTGCCTTGCAAGCGCAAGGACCCAAGTTCAATCCCCGGTACCAAAAAAAAAATACTGTGCTTTATATGACAGAATGAGTTTAGCCAAACATTTACATTTTAATGCACAGAGTAATGTTTTCTAAAAAAGAGGAGGGAAAATAATTTATCTACAAGAAAATACAACAAAAGGATTTAACCAAAGATTCTCATTGTATACTGAGGACAAACTGATTAATTCAATCAATATTTTATTAGAGAATAAGAGGATTATGCAGTGATTTGAAATTTTTAAGAAATGACTTGAAATAATTATGGTTTAAGAGCAAGTAAAAGAAAGGGTAAGTTAGTGGATTTAAATGATTAAAGACTAAGAAGAAGGCTTCACTGAGTAATAGATACTGCAGTTTGCTGAATCAAATTAAAACAAAAGAAAAAAGCAGATAGACTGACAAAATGTGGATGACATGAACTGAACTACAGGAGGTATCAATTTTTACATGCCCGATTTTTGATACAATCTAAACAAGAAAGGGCCGGGGATTTAGCTCAGCAGTTCAGTGGCCTGCCTTGCAAGCCCAAGGACCCAAGTTCAATCAATCCCCAGTACCAAAAAAACAAACAAACAAACAAACAAAAAAAAAAAAACAAACAAGAAAAGGCTAAGGATCACAAAAATGCTGATTTCTCAGCTGCTGCCACTTCCCACACCCGCACCACACCGTGGGGTCCACCTGTGGGCCTAGGAGCCCTTGACAGATTCACAAGAGACTGAGTGAAGGGAAATTCCTGGTTTCTCCTCTCATTCCCCCTCCTACCATCTAACAATGGCTACATTCCTTCTTGAAGATCCCTAAATTCTAACTCCAGTAGGAAAGAAATTAATGAGATATGATGAAAAGTAGCTATTAGAGAAACTTACTTTATTGTTTCCCTAAAGATGTACTATGCTCACACTCAGTGAGCCTATCTTTTGTTATTCTGTCTAAATTATATCCCATATATACATTGGCAATTATAAACATATTGAGACTATGAAATGGGAGCTGTAACGGATTTGTGGGCTGAGCTGCATTTCCCTCATTCACATTCTGAAGTGCTAATCAACCCAGTACCTCCATCTTTTCTTTTTTTCTTTTTTTTTTCTTTTTTTGAGACGGGGTCTCACTATGTAGTTGAGACTGACCTGGAACTCACTATGTAGCCCAGTCTGGTCTTGAACTCACAGCGATCCTCCTGCCTCAGCCTCCCGAGTGCTGGGATTACAGGCGTGCACCACCACGCCTGGCAACCCAGTACCTCCAAATGGGACTGAAAATGGAGACAGGGCCTTTAAAAAAGAGGTAATTAAGGTAGTTGCAGAGATGGGAATAATCAAATCTCAGTGATGTCCTTATAAGAAGGGTCAGGACACATGCTCATGCACAGAAGACACATTATGTGAAGACACAGCGAGAGGGCAGCCATCTGAATACCAAGGAAAGAAGCCTTGGTAGAAGCCAACCACGCTGATTCCTTGAGTCCTAGCCTCTATAATTGTGAGGAAATGAAATTTCCATCATTTCAGCCACCCACTATGTAGCATTCTGTTGTGTTAACCCTAATGAACTAATACATGGCTTTGGTCCAGGGAACCACGTTAAAGAGCAAAGACCACACTTTTTTTAAACATCCATATTAAGTCTGCTCCCACCCACTAATCCCACAGGGGAGAGGCCCCTAACAGAAAGCAGAGATGGATGGAGTACAATCCTCCAGTCCTACAGTAAAGTTTACTAAACTGGAAACTTCTTTATTTGTATGAGAAAACCTTCACATTTCCTCTTTTGAGTCAATGCCCATTATAAAATTATTAGCATACATGGTGCTTAGATTTTATGCTTGATGTACACTATGAATTAAACAAAGTTTAAGAATTAAGATAAAAACAATGGGCCAGGGATTTAGCTCAGCGGTTCAGTGGCCTGCCTTGCAAGCACAAGGACCCAAGTTCGATCCCTGGTATCAAAAAAAAAAAAAAAAGATAAAAACAAATCAGTGACCATGTTTATAGCAGCACAGTTTGTAATAGCTAAATCTTGGAAACAACCTATTTGCCCATCCGTTGGAAACTGGATAAAGAAGTTGTGGTTTTTCTATAAAATGGAATATTACTCAGCCATAAAGAGCGAGAGAATAGATTCCTTCATAGGAAAATGGATACATATTGAAGATATACTCCTAAGTGAAATAAATAAGTCCCACATGTGTAAATACCAAATAGTTTCCCTGGTGTGAATATTCTGCAACAATGCATAAGATTCTAATAAGATTACTGACATTTAGAAATGGGAGGAAAGGAGCTAAAGGTGTAGGGAAGGTGTGATACGTAGGGGAAGAACAAAAAGGGAAAAGAAAAAAATGTGAGAGAATGAAAAGATGAAAATAAAGTGTTTGTAGATGGGGAGGGGAGGAGGGGGTGAAGGGAGGGCAGAGGTAAGGGGAAAAAA